TAGCACGTCTAACGTCACAAATATGACCTCTTTACACTTGTCGATAATAAAAATGTAAAGCATTGTTTATCAAATTTTCTTTTAGGATTTTCAAGAGTAAGAACAAAATAATAATTCGGTGAAGTTTCAGTGTCAGGGAATGTTTCTTACGCGTTCACCCTTCTCTCAAAGTTGCCATTGCATCCTGCCGTGTTTTGTGCGAAAAACGAGCATAAAATCGATTTTTCAAACTTTTCCTAATTTCTCCTTTAAAATGAATCGTTTGAACCCAAAACTATTTTTCCTTAAATAAGGTCACTAAAAGGGATGTTTTGGCAAAATAAAAAAAAATTCGATTTTTTGACGAGTGTCGTGCGATTCTCGATTTCCTCAGATCATTTGTATACACTTAATGTCAGATCCCAAGGGAGACAGTTAGTTTTGTTTTCCCGAGAGTCCTGATGTTTCCCGAGACGAAGTCGAGGGAAACATCAGGACTCGAGGGAAAACAAAACTAACTGGTTTCCCGAGGGATCTGACATTAAGTGTTTTGTTATATTTCTAGACTTTCACTTCAACAGCAACAAAAGAATAACCGGAGCGAACGAAAACGAACCAAAACAGTCGACTCGGTACTTACAACAACACAAATTTAATTCTCAAAACCACTGAATGAATGATTTACAAACAAAAGTACTTTCCTTATATCATCTGCATTTTTTCCCTCCACTAGCTGCTGCTTTTCTTCTGGGAACTTCAGGGATAACTTTAAAAATCGTTGCTTTTTAGCTTGAGGCTTCGTGATTGTGTTGTTGTGTTCATTCATGGAAAAAGAAAACTGGCAGGACCTGGCGGTGTTTTCCCGCCTTTTGTCACGCCACTTTCCACCATGCTTTGATCACGTGCTGCAATGTAGCCCGAGCGGGATACATTGTTTAATGTATCACGATCGGGATACATTTGATTTTAGTCAAGGCCACGTGACCAAGAATCAACCAATGGCAGTCCCTGTTTAGTTGAGTGAAATTCTAGGAATATAACAATGGCTCTTAATGCACTTACGGAAAGGAGGGATTATTTGCATGCATCAAATCTCAAGAATTTTTTGAGTGGGAGTTCCATTTTTCAATTCATTTCAGCAGTCGGAATTTATTGAATTTTCACACATGGAAAGTTTGACAAAAATCTCAGAGGAATGACCTTTAACACTTCATGCTACACTTAATTTACTTTGCAGAACAACCTTAACCTGAGATCAGGCCCGATTGTAGCGGTTCTCATATTTTCCTTTTTAACGGTTACGACTAAAATTGGGGCTCTCTTTTCCTTGCGCCATGCCCGCCGGAATGTAATTTTCAAAGCGAAACGAAAATAGAGCCTGATCTCAGGTTAGAACAACCTAGTCTTGTATTTCTTTTGTTACCTTTTGTTGTTAAATCTCTAGTCTATGTTGTATAACTATATCTTCTGGGCTTGTTAATCTGAACGTGCCAGTCTAATATAAGCAATTAATAGAACGAACACTTTTTAGCTCACTTGGACCAACGCAGGTGCTTATTCTGCTCCGAAAAGTCTACCTACACCTATTTGCAACAACATTGTCATAGAAAAATTCTAAAAGGAAAAATGAAAAATGTAAAATGTTTAGAGCCACGGAGGAATTAAGATGATGAAGATCTGCTACTTCGAAATCCCTTGCAACAGCATGTGGTTTCATCATTGCAGTCTTCATAACCAGGTGGGCAGGGTCATCGTTGAAAAAGCATTTGTCCTAAAAATTCCTGCCGCTATAGGCTTCTGTAAATTAGGAATAAAATTTTCTTGAATTATTTGACGAGAATTTTTATGACTGCTAAAGTCATTGTCCTTGTCTTGTACTTTTTCATCTTATAGGTAGCTTTTGGTTTTCGGTATTTCAGGTATTTAGCCCTATATTGTCAGGACGCTTTAAACTGAACGGATCAACAGCAACCCAATATTGTCGGCTGGAAATGGGCTAACACGTGCTGCATGCTTTCAAGTAGGTGCTTATTTTGCTCTTCCTTAATATCTATATGTCTAAGCATCGCCCAGATTGAGACGACATACATCCGGGAACCTCCATGAACCTCCATGTGCGACCACCTCTCGTAAGTGACCACCTCCCATAAGCGACCGCCAATCGAAAACACCAAAATTTGCCCGGTCAAAGCCTTACCGTTGAAACATCTAGTAAACGACCATCTCCTGTAAGCGACCGCGACCACTTTTTGGGCCTGACGGTTAAAGATTTTCCATTGTTTTTAACCTCTTGTAAGCGACCACTTGACGCATTCTCTGATCTCTATGTTTGCTGTATGTACTTTGCTATTAGGAATGTACGAAGAACTTTTGTGGCAACATGGAACTACTCATGTCGTAACTTAGACATTGCATGCAATAAATTATCTTACATAAAGAAGATGTAAGATCCAAGTGTAACATTTTTTCTATTATTGGTTTTTGCGTAATTTGTTTTTCCTTTGCGTACGCTAATTAGTTTATACAGTGGAACCCCGCCTTACGACCACCCCGTTTATAGGACCACCTCGTTATTACGGCCATATTCTTCCAAACCAAACGTAAAAACCATTGAGTCATTTTATTATTTTGAGGACCCCGTTAATGCGACCACCTCGTTATTACGACCAGGGTTTTATGGCCCTACGGTAGTCGCATTAACGGGGTTCCACTGTACTTCTTTTCCTTCTTTTGTTTAGTTTATTTGCGTAAATTTAGGTGTTTATTCCTTTCTGTCAGTTTACGGTCCCCTCGTTAGCGTTTCTTTGGTGTTTCATCTTCATCAGCGCCTTTCTAAGTTTCTATAGTTTTATTTTCCGCATGTCCTAGCGTATTTTTCATATCGTAGTTTTGCGGTACAGTTTGAGCAGTTCATTTGGGTCCGCGCTAAGCGCAGTTCTGTTTAGTGTCTTGCAAGTATCTTTGCGTTATTCGCAGTCCGCTTCACAGCAGTTTTCTCTGGCCGAAACAATTATGTGTACTTCACAGTCCTCGTTTTTGCAGTTTTGTTATTTCTTTATTCTGATTGTCCCTAGGTCGCAACTTGTAACTTTTTGCTCTTTTACTGTTTTAGTTTCAACCCACGCCGTTTGTATTCACAATCTTTGTACTACGCATTTTATTTCAAGTACCAAGCACATCGGTTACAATAAATTTTCGTTCGAATTTGGTTTGTGGTGTTGTTATTAAAGGCCAAGAGACTTTTACGCTTATTGCAGTTTCAGTAGATGTGCCTGGACCTCTTCTCGGAAGGGGCGCCCTGTGGTTGAATTCTTGTAAGCGACCACTTAGTCTCTTCATTTTGGGTGGTCGCATACGGGAGGGTCAAACAAAAGGGAAAATGGCCTAAAATTGGCTACCAGCACCTACACATCAGGCGTGTTTGCGAGCTGAGCTGCTTTGACCGGTTTAACGAAACTGCCGGGCACTACTTTGACCGGTAAAACGAAACTGAAGCGCAAGGATGAAACAAAAGCACGGTGTTCCGCCCATTAATTTTGCTATTTTGGCAACGCCGTAGAAAAAGCATGTATTGGAAGAAACTGTTTGGCCGTCGCGCGCACTCAGATTCAGATCATTCTAACGCATCATGAAAAAGGCTGGACACCAATTTGCTCTTTGTTTAGCGCGACCCGGTTACTGTTACGGTTGATAAACTGGTCTGAATACTTCAAGACCCAAAACGAACTACGTACTTTATTTCGATACAAAAACATCGCGTTTTGGCAGCGCATTGAATTAGACTTTGGCAAGCTCATGTTTTTCTAGTATATATGCAAATGCTGCCTACTGGAACTATTGAAAATTAACCAAGTGTCTCTCCAGTGTGGCTTAACGTAAGCTACACTGACAATAAAATTGGCCAGTATCTTTCTACTCCCTTTGGATAATGTTTCCGTAATTTAACAAGAGGTGAAATAAAAGACCCACACTCGATACATGGCCAGCGTACAACAACTCGAAGAAAACCATTCCGCAGTCAAAACAAAACTCTTGAGGCCTCACTAGCCTCGCTTTCTGGCAACTAGACCTGGGCCAGCTTGGAGGTCCGCCATATTTGTATTCGGCCGGTGCATACGCGCGTAATCAAAATAGAAGCAATATATGAAAGGTCGCGCGTAAACGTATTAACTGTTACACGTCCCTCAACTTTTACATCTATGTGCGCCTTCCATACATCGCTTCTATTTTATTTACGCGTGTACGCACGTTAGAATTACGCGGCAGTGAAAATTCACCCTTAATACGGACACTTATTATTATTCACCACTTGCACATCTTCCATAATGCACCTTATTTAACCCCCAAAATTTTGCATATAGGCATTGTTTTCAATTTTTCGTAGGAAGGCTATGATACCCAGGAGAAATGAAAAGCAAAGGATATGCCAAATTTTGGGGGACAAATAACGTGCATTATGGGAGATGTGCAAGTGGCGAATGGAAAGTTTGCTTTGCTCCTGGGAAAAGGAAGCCCTCACATTTTCTCTAAATTCAACTTGCTTTATAAAGACACTTCGCTAATACGGACTCATGGCCCCCTCAGTGTCCGTATTAACAGTGTTTGACTGAGCTGTACCCGAATTCATTTCGTTGTTGCTTAGTTTCTTATCTGACCATCCCACTGATCATCTAACTGGCTATTTGTTCCACTCCCAGGCAAATTCTTCAAAGCAACCAGCACATGCCATAGTTGGAAGATGTAGGCCCATAACCTATCGATTCGATGGTATATTGCTAGTTAGCCTGTAGACCTACAATTTTTTCTCCCTTTTTTTAGAACCGCTCTTAAATCCAACCAGTCCTCTCAACAGATTATCTGGAGAACCGTACGCGTCAGTGATGACTTGCCTGATAGAAACAAGAAACCTCTTTATAAAACAAACCTTCTCCTTAACCAGCAAAGGCTATCAAATACAAAAACAGTAACTAAAAGCAGTTTATTGGCAATGTAAATTTATATTGATCTGAGCCTACAAGACAGTCTCTTTAATACCAAAACACTTAAACTAAAAGCTGTTTATTGACAATATAAATCGATATTGATTTGAAACTATATAGACAGTCATTTTAAAACAACTACAAGCAAATCGAAGCAGCCTAACTGAAGTAATAGAATACACTCAAATTCCGAGACATGCTGGCCAAGCTGTGTTTAAATGCAATATTTTAACGTTGGTTCTAAAATTTGAACAGTGATACTGTTGAACAGTAAAACTCGAAAACTATGACTATTTTTCAGGTACAATTTTTTCTCAAAGAAAAAAGCTATTGTGGCATTACTGAGAATAATTTAATCACATACCCTGGTCTGTAATTTGTGATTGCGTTGTAATTCGTTACTTTGCAGATCAAAATATTTTAATATAACTAATTACAGGTTCACAACTTGTCATTAATAAAACTTAAGAAAGGTTTTTGTCTAGCTAAAATCAGCTCAGCATAGATGCAAAAATTTTCTTGTTTAACTAAAAAGGATTGAAGCGAGGACAAGGATTAAAACTCTTTCATGCTGTCAGCATTCTACTTCGTCTTGGTACGGATCCGACAGGTAGAGTGGATTATCCATAGAGATTGCTCCAGGCTTGTTAGTCTATAACAAACCGAAACGAGAGAAAACAATTTAACCTGCCGCTCTCTAAAAGATGAATCTGATTCAACACATCAACTCCCAGTAAAACTTTTATCCTTATCATCGTTCTAGGCGTATAAAGAAAATATAATCAAAAATCGAAAAATATAAATAGCCATATTTCAAAGATTACACTAGCTTTGCTCATGTGACCGCTTACCACTATTCTAAAGTTGTCATCTGTTGCGAACATATTCGTGTCAACATCACTCATGAAGAACTGGTAGCAAAGGAAAGCAGTGTTAGGAACAAACTTAAGAAATCAATAACACATCAACTTTTCTAGGGCTAGTGTCTATAGCGTAAAGTAAAAAGAAAAAAAAAAGATATGAATCATTAAACATATTAGAAAGATGAAGTATTATCTTTGCCTCTGCTTTACTTTAAGTGCAGTTTTGCGCGCCATTCAAAGGAGCCTACTTAACATTTCTCTTTAACCAGCGTTTAATGTTATTTTGTGATCAAAGTTCAAAACAACATAACAAAACAAAACAAAACAAAGCAGTATATTGGAGTATACCATTGGAAATGTATTTTTTACCGCCTAATAGCCTTTCCTGCACCTCAGACGCTCTTAACCTTCACAAATGGTTTGGACGAGTGCGTGGGCCGGCTTCAACGCAGGCTACCTAGTAATAGCATTGACACCTACACACTTATGCATCTCTGCAATAAATTGGACATTTGCACATATATCGCGCTCGTATCATCTTAGGCTGTTATTCTTTAAGGCCCGAATCTTGACCTCAAATGCTTTGAATTTGTTACATAGAAATAGACGAAAAATCCGAGTGACGGCAATATTTGCCCGAACAGGCTATAGAACGAGGCGGACTTAATATTTTCATTTTCACCCTACCCCTCTCCCAACTCGGCAGCAGCAGTAATGTGCAAAATGTTGATTTAGCGGAGGGGCAAGTAATTAGTTATCTAAAATCCTATACTGCTCCGTTTTAGGAACCTCGGCGAGCGCACCGGTATAGTTTAAAAGGCATTTTTTCTCACAAAGACTAGCGTTGGTCTCTAGTGTCGTCTACATCCCACTCACAGCCACTTATTGCATCCCATTGTTTTATTTCATATAAAAAGCATGCCAGATTCGTACTGAAAGAAACGCTAATCCCAAATCCTGAATCGTATTTTGTATTGGATTTTATGAATGCATTGCGTTTGTCAGGAGCCAATACTCCTGTTTTTGTGGATTACGTCAACTTGAATTCTTAATTTGGATTTTTTTTTAATGAACGTAAAATTCGTATTTGGTTTCAAAATATTTAGGATTTTCCCAAAAACGCACCCTAAGTTACAAAATAAATTTTAAGTTTTACATCAAATCATTCTATTGTTAATTTTATATTTAATTTACATCTTCTAGAGGTTGTTGTCCATCGTCAGTGTCGAACACAGGGTTCCCAACCCCTTTAGGCATACTTTCCAGTTCGTCTCTCCTTCTTCTATACATCAAAAAAATCAAAAGCATTGAGTTAGCAACAGTGTAAATATGCATCCCACATCTTCGAAAAAAAAAAAATGAATGACAACAAAAACGAACAAAGAAAACAAAACAAAAGTCCAAGTTCAAACAAACTGAATTAGAGCGTTTCGCTTTATGCTATTTGATACGGCGATCGATCAAAACAACAAGACAACAAACAAAATCTCTACTAAGCATCTCCACGGTCACGATTTTTTCCATCTAAATGACAATTTAACAAAACAAAAAAAGGCGTGAAATTAAAATTCGTGAAATCGTCCGAGGATGCGTACAGCAAAATTTAATGAAGTTACAATGAAACGAAGTTGCCAACCGTTTCGAGGTAGGAGGATATTGAAACATCAAAATTAGGAGGCCAGGAGTTAAAGAAAGAAAGTGCAGCTTCACATCTGTTACTAAGGATCTGTTTAATGAGCGGTGGGGCATCCCAGTACGGTGAGGTAACCCGCTTAGGTGGGGTAACCCGCTTGTCAATACAACCTCTCATTTTAATTTGATCACGTTTATATGATAAATCAGAGCGACCCGTACAGGCGGGTTACCCCATTTGCCCGACAGGGTAACTTTCTCAGCCCGCGGGTTAAATAGTTTTAAGGAGAGGTAACCCGCATAGTCGGGATAAGATTCCTATTTTGAAAGCTAATGTTGTGAGCTGGGACTGGAGTTATAGACTTACTTTTTCCTCGCCATAATAAAGTAGGCCAGCACAAGAGCAACAATGATTATTACGATCCCTGCAGCTACGCCGGTGCCAATGTACACTGCAAGAAAATAATCATAACCAACGGTTTTAGGCCGTTTTTTTCAGTAATGAAAAACAATTAAATGAAATGTTTTCAATTTCTTTTATTAGATTCAAGTAATGTCCATTCTCTAATAATTTTTATGTACTACTATTGTGACTGATGTCAGGTAGCAAGAAATCGTAGTTTAGTTCAACCTTTCCACTTCGACAGTTTCAATAAAGAATGAATAAAATGGTCGAACCTCTCGTTCTTGGGTATCTGGGCACCGGGAGGTCCAGCACCCAGTTAAAAGAGTAACTTCTTGCTGTACGTGTGTTGTGATCTCATTCGTTCATAAGCACTTGAAGCTTATCCAGCAAGGCCAATCACATGGTGATAGAGATAGATCATAACACCGCGCTCTAAGTTCCCTACTCTTTACGAACTGTGTGTGGTTTCATTAGCGCCAAGAAGATTTTAAATGAGCAAAGGTTTGTGGAAAGGGACCTACAGTTTATCATCCTTATTCAAAAAGTCTAGCAAGTCTAACTGTTTCCATATTCTACTACAAAAAAAGGTTTTTCCCCAATTTTATAAAGAACCTGGGTGTTGTCAAATCCAGGGCTTCACTCCGCCTCCTCTCTCTCGACAGAACGGTGCTCATTCAGTTGGCCTAATTGGGCAGCGGTTAACCGACCACGACCACTCTCTGGGCGGCCATTTAAACTTTTCCTCCGTATTTCTCGCTCCAAAGCGACTACTTGAGATCTATCGATAACAACGGCCCAACACACAGACGACGTAACAAATTTTGTCCTTTCATTACTACGATGTAAGCTCGCTGTGTGTGATAGATAACTCCAAGATCAGAGTCTTTTAGAGAAATAAAGTAAGACTTTTATAAGCGACAAACGGGAGGTTTATATGTGATAGCTGTTAATTTACGCGATTTCAACGGCCTTTCTCTGACCATGTTGTCACTAGCAGAATAACAGTGGTTCTTACTTGTGTTTTTCTGGCCCCCTCTTTGAGCACCAACAGTTGCTTCAGGTACATATTCTGTGGAAGCCAATAAATAATAGTTCATTGATATGGAAAATTCTATGGGACTGATCTATAAAATGAATGTGTATTGTTGGGGCGCTGGAGAGGTGGAGAGAAGAGAAAACCAAAACAGGGGTTTATTGGCTTCCCTTGGTAACTTGTTGTTACACCTTCTTCCTGAAACTTATGAAGAAACCAGCTTCAATGTATCATGAGCTGTGTTACATTTCAATAATAATAATATAATAATAATAATAATAATAATAATAATAATAATAATATTGTATCTGGATGTGAGGTATTAGCCAAAACAGAGTACATCTCCAGGCACAATAATGCTGCAGCATATCTCCATTGGAGCATATGTAAAGATCATGATATAGAGATTACAGACAAATGGTACGAACACGAACCAGAGACCGTGATACACAATAAAGATAACAACATCACCATCATGTGGGACATGCCAGTCAATACTGATAGAACTATAACAGCGAACAGACCAGATATCATCGTTAAAGATTCAGTGAATTCCACCTGCAAACTTATTGATATGACTGTTCCATCAGATAGAAACATCGCACTGAAGGAAACTGAAAAAAAATGCAAGTACAAAGACCTAGAACTAGACATACAGAGAATGTGGCATATGAAAACCGTAGTGATCCCTGTGGTTGTTGGTGCGCTTGGTACAGTGAAGAAGGGTATGGTAGAAAACATCAAGAAAGTATCAGAAAGAGCTAATATGACAGAGATTCAAAAGATCTGCATGCTGGGATCTGCACGACTCCTCAGAAAGGAGCTCAGTGTATGAAAAGAATGATTGACTTGAGTGACTGACGCTCTAGGTGCATGGTTTGCGCCCCGCTGATGCACAAAAAGAACACCAGCAAAGACTGTGATAATAGAGATAATAATAATAATAATAATAATAATAATAATAATAATAACAATAACAACAACAATAATAATAATAATAATAATAATAAAATTGGTAAAATCTTTATTACAAAACCTCAATTAAAATCCTATTTACAATCAACCTGCTGTCACAAAAAATCTAATCAATTCATCAAAACACTATCTACAATTCCTTCATTAGAGAACAAAAACAATCCTATATATAATAAGTGAAGAAAGAGAAAGCTATTCATTTACAAATTCCAAAAAAATAGAAGTAACTTAACCTTACATAAAAGAAGAGGAAATAGATATAATCAATAATAAAAGTTCAAAATTCTATAAAATTAAGAATTCCATTATGCAGAGATATCGAGATCATACAATCGAATTATACTAATGACGACTAAACCAGTGTCCATAAAAAGCCCTAAGTATAAAAGCATATAGACACGTATTTCAGATATCCGCACTAGCGACATTTATTTTACAGTCTAATGATTGCTCTATCTTGCTACGAAACGACGTTCGCGAACCTCTGACGCATGCATGTACCGATCTTAACAGTTCAAACGAGAGCTGTGTCCTGAGCCAAGTGATTACAACATGATAAGGCTCGGTGTCTTTCTGAGCTATCTTGTCTGCGAGATGCTTTAAGAACCGCTGACACTCGTTTCCCATTCCGCCATTGGTTCCAAACACTAAAGGCGTAAACGAACCCATTTCTACATCTAACACCCGCTGCTGGTACTGCGCTTCTTCTCTTCTTGCTCTTTGAACACTTCCGATGTTGGCTTGCTCTGGTAACACTTGGAGTTGACGTGCGTAACTCTAACATCAAAAAATGCCGTAACTCCTCTTGCCCAGAAACCTCCCGCTTTGATGTCCAATCTTGCCTCAGAACTTGTAACAACGCTCCTCAAATGAAATCGCTCGTTGTCCAGGGGTTGGAGGCGTGGTTCGATTTCGACATTATTGCAGATCTTGTCGATGAATGTCGTTAACAAGTTCCGTACACCGTCATGTCTCTGCGCTACAAACCCCCCCTTTTTACAAGAGAGGGCGTGACTAACGGTGAATTTATCCCCACATATGCAATGACTTGGTAAATCGACTAAGGGCAAGTCATAACGCAAGCGTAGCGAGTCTCTGAATTCTTGCTTGTTGAGGGCTAAACCTTTGTCTGCGAGAGGCATCGCATTCAGCCAAGAACTTGCGCCCTTGTCCCTCGATTGATTAACCAGACGCAGCAGGCCTGGGGAGAGGCTTGAATCAATGCTATCCATTTTCACTTTGGCACTTGCTCTCTTAAGTGATTGTTGATGCCTCTTTAGCTCCTCCGTAGATCTTTCTCCTGACACCATGATGGAACTCTGTGAAGTAATAGAATCTACGTGCGCGGTGGTAATAATAATAATAATAATAATAATAATAATAATAATAATAATAATAATAATAATAATAACTTTTATTATTGATTATATTTATTTCCTCTTCTTTTATGTAAGGTTAAGTTACTTCTATTTTTTAGAATTTGTAAATGAATAGTTTTCTCTTTCTTCACTTCTTATATATAGGATTGTTTTTGTTCTCTAATGAAGGAATTGTAGATAGTCTTTTGATGAATTGATTAGATTTTTTGTAACAGTAAATAGGATTTTAATTGAGGTTTTGTAATAAAGATTTTACCATTTTTTTTATAATAATAATTATAATAATAATAATAATACGACTGGGAAACAACGGACACGCCCTTGATCTGCGCATGCGGTGTTCAATTTAGCGTGGATCAAGCAATGGTGTGTCAGCGTGGCGGATTCACTATCCAGCGCCATAACGAACTGCGCGACTTGGAAGCAGAGATGGTAAGGATGGTCTGTAATGACGTGGAAGTAGAACCGGTCCTTCAGGAGGTCACTGGGGAGACATTAAATCATGGCGCTAACAAAGCCCGTGATGCCCGTTTGGATATTCATGCTCGAGGTTTCTGGGAGAGACAGAGATCTGCATTCTTCGACGTTCGGGTGTGTCACTCTAATGTAGACTCTTACAGAGACTTGACTCCTACGCAAATCTACAAGAAGCATGAGAATGAGAAGAAGAGGCAGTATGCGGAAAGAGTACTGGAGATCGAACCTGCAGGGAACGTTTACTCCCCAAGTTTTCAGGACCACAGAGTGTGGTCAAGTATGATGAGTGTGTCAAGTACCACAACAGACTTGCGGAGCTGATCGCAAATAAGAAGGGAGAAAGTTACTCAAGCGCAATTTCCTGGAGAAGAGCTAAAGTATCTTTCGCCATCGTACGCTCTGCGATACTATGCTTGAGAGGCTCAAGATCCAGAAGACGGCAGCTAGACTTTATCGACTCAGATGTACAGATCGAAATTATTAGAGCCTGCCCGAATTAACTAATTGATTAGTAGTAGGGCTTCAGCAAAGATAAGCCTCGTTGGTGTCTTCCCCTGTCTTCCCCTGTCTTCCCTTAATTAATATGTGTAAGGGTCGAGTCAATGACGTCACCCATTGTTTTATCCTAGAGAAAAAAGTGCCTTCCTCCATACTAATTAAGTGTCTTCCTCCATGTATAATGAAGTGGATAGGTTTACTAATGAGCGTCACTCTACTACAATAGGAACAATAGGCTTGCCTAGACTTGCCCGGGATCTTTTAACCCTAATTGGATAGTAAACAATCTATTATGAGTTTAACATAAAAGCGCGCTTTCCCTTCGGTATTTCATTCTCGCAATCGCTTTACTAAGGAAAAAGTCTTACTATCACCAATATTTTTCAAAACATTGCTCCAAACATGCAAGTCGAATCGAGCTGTAAACTTGTCTGACTATTACAGAACTGTTTTCTCCTTTCTATCTCGAGGAAATGAAAAAATATTGAAGTCTTGTCATTTTCACGCACGGGTAATCAGTTAATTATGCGAGTTCGCAAGCCCAAAGTTGAATACAAATTAGCTCTACAGGAAAGACCCAAGGGAGAGATCCTTGACGTATTATTATAAAACAAATAACTTAACAAGGATCAATTAAAACACGCGACTCATAATTGCTGGCAATAAAACCACAAGAGAGATACCGTTTTGAAAACTTTATTAAAAACCAGTGACAAAAAGAGTCAAATACACAGTGATTTGAAAGGAAAAGAATGAAAATTAATCCTTTGACTGACTATTACACATCAGTTTTTTTCCGTTCTATTTCCAGGAATAATAAATAATCCTTCGGTGTCTACACAATTTTCCCTATTGCCTCGAAGCCAAGAGTTCGACTTTCTTTGTTTCTTGCGCTTTGTCTTGTTCTTTGTAGCCGGTCTTTTAGCTTTTGCTTCAAAAGAGGCTTCATTTCTCTGTGATCTTGACAGTTCGCAGTACACCGTTTCTTGTGTCTGTACTGGATTGCGATAGTGATTTTTTCCGGAATGGGGTCGATGTGGGGTCGATGTGGGGTCAGCGATTTGAAAGAAATCTATTAAAATAGTCAAAGAAAGCAAGCTATCTTTTTTTTTTTTACCACGTTTCCCTCCTCTTCTTCCTCCTCCTCCTCATTTTTGTTTTCCCTCCTCCTCCTCCTCCTCCTCATTTTTTTTTTTTTCCCTCCTCCTCCTCCTCATTTTTTTCTTTTTCCCTCCTCCTCCTCCTCATTTTTTTCCCTCCTCCTCCTCCTCCTCATTTTTTTTTTCCCTCCTCCCTCCTCCTCCTCCTCCTCATTTTTTTTATTTTCCCTCCTCCTCCTCCTCATTTTTATTATTTTCCCTCCTCCTCCTCCTCCTCCTCCTCATTTTTATTGTTTTCCCTCCTCCTCCTCCTCATTGTTATTGTTTTCCCTCCTCCTCCTCCTCATTTTTATTGTTTTCCCTCCTCCTCCTCCTCCTCCTCCTCCTCATTTTTATCATTTTCCCTCCTCCTCCTCCTCCTCCTCATTTTTATTGTTTTTCCTCCTCCTCCTTCTCCTCCTCATGTTTATCGTTTTTCCTCGAAAAGGCTAAAATCAGCCCTATAAGGCCAAACTCAAATGTGATGGTCTGATTTTAGCCTTTTCGAGGAAAAACGATAAACATGACGAGGAGGAGGAGGAGGAGGGAAAACAATAAAAATGAGGAGGAGGAGGAGGAGGAAAAACAATAGAAATGAGGAGGAGGAGGAGGAGGAGGAGGAGGGAAAACAATAAAAATGAGGAGGAGGAGGAGGGAAAACAATAAAAATGAGGAGGAGGAGGAGGAGGAGGAGGGAAAATAATAAAAATCAGGAGGAGGAGGAGGAGGAGGGAAAATGATAAAAATGAGGAGGAGGAGGAGGAGGAGGGAAAAATAAAAAAATGAGGAGGAGGAGGAGGAGGAGGAGGAGGGAAAATGATAAAAATGAGGAGGAGGAGAAGGAGGAGGGAAAATAATAAAAATGAGGAGGAGGAGGAGGAGGAGGAGGGAGGAGGGAAAACAAAAATGAGGAGGAGGAGGAGGAGGAGGGAAAATGATAAAAATGAGGAGGAGGAGGAGGGAAAACAATAAAAATGAGGAGGAGGAGGAGGAGGGAAAACAAAAATGAGGAGGAGGAGGAAGAAGAGGAGGGAAACGTGGTAAAAAAAAACAATGATAGCTTGCTTTCTTTGACTATTTTAATAGATTTCTTTCAAATCGCTGACCCCACATCGACCCCACATCGACCCCATTCCGGAAAAAATCACTATCGCAATCCAGTACAGACACAAGAAACGGTGTACTGCGAACTGTCAAGATCACAGAGAAATGAAGCCTCTTTTGAAGCAAAAGCTAAAAGACCGACTACAAAGAACAAGACAAAGCGCAAGAAACAAAGAAAGTCGAACTCTTGGCTTCGAGGCAATAGGAAAATTGTGTAGACACCGAAGGATTATTTATTATTCCTGGAAATAGAACGGAAAAAAAAACTGATGTGTAATAGTCAGTCAAAGGATTAATTTTCATTCCTTTTCCTTTCAAATCACTGTGTATTTGACTCTTTTTGTCACTGGTTTTTAATAAAGTTTTCAAAACGGTATCTCTCTTGTGGTTTTATTGCCAGCAATTATGAGTCGCGTGTTTTAATTGATCCTTGTTAAGTTATTTGTTTTATAATAATACGTCAAGGATCTCTCCCTTGGGTCTTTCCTGTAGAGCTAATTTGTATTCAACTTTGGGCTTGCGAACTCGCATAATTAACTGATTACCCGTGCGTGAAAATGACAAGACTTCAATATTTTTTCATTTCCTCGAGATAGAAAGGAGAAAACAGTTCTGTAATAGTCAGACAAGTTTACAGCTCGATTCGACTTGCATGTTTGGAGCAATGTTTTGAAAAATATTGGTGATAGTAAGACTTTTTCCTTAGTAAAGCGATTGCGAGAATGAAATACTGAAGGGAAAGCGCGCTTTTATGTTAAACTCATAATAGATTGTTTACTATCCAATTGGGGTTAAAAGATCCCGGGCAAGTCTAGGCAAGCCTATTGTTCCTATTGTAGTAGAGTGACGCTCATTAGTAAACCTATCCACTTCATTATATATGGAGGAAGACACTTAATTAGTATGCAGGAAGGCACTTTTTTCTCTAGGATAAAACAATGGGTGACGTCATTGACTCGACCCTTACACATATTAATTAAGGGAAGACAGGGGAAGACAGGGGAAGACACCAACGAGGCTTATCTTTGCTGAAGCCCTACTACTTTGATTATTATTATTATTATTATTATTATTATTATTATTATCTATTTATTTATTTTTGTAAGAACTTTTTTAAACGAATTAGGAATTTAGGAATACGATATTTTATTCTTTTTAACTTGTTTCTTTTAAATATCAGAGACGGATGATTCTCTTTTGTGAGGACTTAATTTAAAACTCTGGACCGCCTGCAAGAGTTATTGATCGCATCTAAGCCGCAAGGAATGTATTTGGGAAATCGTTATTGACACAGTGTATTTTTTATGATTTATATAATTCTTAATGTTATATGGTGCTTTATTCTTACTTCAAATATTTCTGTAAATTATATGTACATATTTGTAAAGTTGAATAAAATCATAATAATAATACGAATTAGAATGTGTAATCAAATGAAGACGAGTGAAATTAGGGAATAATTTCACGCGCGTTTTGTCCAAATCCTAATAATTTCCCGAGCCTTTAAAGGCGAGGGAAATTATTAGGATTTGGACAAAACGCAAGTGAAATTATTCCCTTAATTTCACGAGTATACCATTTGATTACCTATTAATATCATGGGTGACGAATTACGTTAGCAATCTTGGATTCTTGACATGTTTATCGTGGATCGTGTCGATTGAGAACTCCACTCTCTCAAATGTTTAGACCTTAAATTTGGCTTATAAAGTTCAGAATTTTTCAGACTCTTTCGGCAAAATACCTGTTAGAATCCTTCTTGATGTTCTCTTGTGTGTTCAGGTTTTCTAAAGCGTCTTTTTGTGCCCTGACATGTTCATTCACGGCATTTTAAAACTTCGTCGCCATCTTGACACTGAGACGTACGGAAGGGTTGTCAGGTCAATTTTGTAATTTCACATGCGCCAAAATTAAGGAGTATTTCGTCACCTATGATACTATATTAATGATAATTATTAATAATTAATAAACAATTTTATTCAACTTTGAAAATATGTACATAATTTAGAGAAATATTTGGGGAAAGAAAGAATTTAAAAGCATTATACATTAAAACATTCCCTGCGGCTTAGGTGCGATCAATAACTCTTGTAGGCAGTCCAGTGTTCTAAATTAAGTCATGACAAAAGAAAATTATCCGTCTCTGTTATTAAAAAGAAACAAGTGGAAAAGAAGAAGACCTCGTGGTAAGATTAATTCGGGCGAGCTCTAATGTTTTCGATCTGTAAAATCTGAGTCTGAGTCATTAACAATAACAATAATAATAATAACAATAATAATGTTATGTGAAGTACATGAGCTATCCAACAATCTAGCGGGATAATAATGAAGAGGATACAGATACCTTGGGATTCTAGCCCTTGATAAAATGAAGGACAAAGAAATGAAACGACAGCTCAGGAAGGAATATAAGAGACGTGTCAAGCTGATTCTGAGCTCAAAACTTCACGGAAGAAACAAGGTCATGGCAGTCAATACATGGGCGGTTGCCATGCTGCGGTACGGAGGAGGAGTTCTAAAGTGGACAACAGAGGAGTTGGACGGAAAAACTGGGAAGGTGATGACCATGTATGGTGCACTTCACCGTAAGAGTGATATTAACAGTCTTTATACTGATGCCAAGAGGAAAAGATGGGGAGGGGAGGGGGGGTTAAGTTGCTTAAGATGTATCCAGGGCGAGGAGATCAGTGTTGGATGGGGGGCAGTTGCTGAAGACAGTGAAAACATCTGGAGTGGTACATTTGGAAGCAGTAGAAGAAGAAGTGAAATAATGGAGGGAAAAGAAAATGCTTGGACAGTTGCTGAGGCAATTGGAAAAAGAGGGTTTTGAAATCAACGGAACATGGAATTCAACACTGAAGTTCTCGAGTGCGACCCAAGAACAAGCTTTGAGGACGAATTATCGTGTAGACAAGAGTGTAGAATGTGCCACATAAAGGTGAAAGTGTCACCCATATCATTAGTGAGTGCAGCAAACTTGCGCAAAAAAGGATAAGAAGAGACACGACAATATCACCAGAATGATTCATTGAGAATGTGAGATGTGAATGGTTTAGGCAGGGCAGGCTGGATACTTAGGATAAATAATTATGATAAATCAGTACATCTATTCACCCAGGGGTTCTCCCACCCACCACACAGCCCAAGAAGGAAGAACTTTAGCTGCAGATTCCATGATTTTCCATTTTTTTCCAATTAATTTATCATCTGTTGTTCAGATGGCAGATGGGAAATACGAGAATACAAACATATTTTGATGAAGAAGGAAAGCGTTACCAGATATTTATTGAAATGAAAGTGATTGGTCTTAGTCTAGAGAGAGTCGAATTGGTGGTCACTTACCGCAGTCGGCAAGGGGGCCTTCTTCGTCCGAATAATCTAGACAATTTGGAACACCATCACATACAAGGCTGGCTTCTATGCACTCGCCATTTTTGCATCTAAACTGGTCATGCTCACACTGGGCAGGTTTGACTGTGATAAAAGTTTAAAGAATTATTGTTAAAGTAATAAATCCTTCAACACCTGAAATATTTTAGGAATTTTTATTGCCTTATGACCAATCACAGCGAAGAACAGTACTAGGCGAAAAACAACGAACTACTGTTCCTTTCTGTCGTTTAGTTTTCCCACGCCTGATTAGCTCTTGTCTTGCAACAAAATAACATTCCGGAAATACTTCTGGTTTCTACAGTTTTATAAGTTTCATGGTAACATAATGTGGAGAACTGAACTATTTCTTTTGCAGGTAGAGTAAACATAGATTTGCTCTGGTCTGTAATCTCTGTCCACCTCAAAGGGTACCGAGAATCAACATAGAAGAGATTTTGTCATCCACAAATTGAAAATTAGAACTACACTTACAGCCTTACTTCTAGGCACTGGAAACTGGTCTTCCAAAATTGTTTACGGTAACGTTTTTCTCCTCGATGTTCGTGAAGTTTAAGCGAAATCTGTAAGAGCGTTATCGAGTCATATTAATTTCGGGTGCAGTTTTTATGGTTAAAAACACGATAAAAACTAGACAATATTGATATTCGGTCGTCGTATGTGGAAAACGACGGGCTTTGAAATACAATTTCAACTCATGCTAGTTTCAGTATTTTTTAAACGTGTGTGAAAGGTCATGGGGATAGCTCTAGCCGACTGCTAGAAAAACCCTATCAAGCCATCTTAAAAGATGCAATAATTCACTTTCCTTTGCTGGAAAAACGTTCGATCAGTTATTGTTACCCTGCGTCAAAAACCCAATCATGGATGCAGAATAATTAACGAGATTTTTGAAGGATAGTAATTCTGAACGGACCAACAAAAACGTTACCACGAAACGTATTCTGCCTCCTCCGGAATTTATATTGCACTACAGCAATAGCAATCGTGCATAAAAAAACCGTCATAGTAAAATGGTGTGAAGGATGGGAGAAGGTTTTCAAATGAATGACGGAAATCATTCCGTCCAAATTTACACTTTAACTTAAAAACACGTTCTACAGTTTCCTTCGTAAAAAAAAACTTATGATGCTGCAGTTCCTCCCTTGAAAGCCAGGTGGGCATGCGCAAGTATAGTTATTCACATCATCTATGCGTGTTGCATTGTAAAGATCACAGTCATTAGTGTCTGAAATAAACAACGACCATAACGACGAAAACAGGATTTATACGATAAAGACGAATTTCGCTGGTCTATCGAATGTAAATGTATTCCAATCCATCTTCAAAACGTTCCCGTTGACTAATAAACTGAAACGGGTGTTTATTAATGTTGTTTAACAACTTACCGATGGCGCAGGTCTTTCCTTCAAAGCCAGGTAGGCAAACGCAAGTGTAGTTGTTCACTCCGTCAACACAAGTACCGTGGTTTTCACACGGGCTGGGATAACAGTCATCAATATCTGATGAAATACCAAAAAGCAAACACTTTTACGGTGCTCTTTCGAAAGTAAATGAGCTCTGTTGCTTCTTGAAAACATTCTCATTGGCTGATGAATTAATAATATGTTTATGAAAATTGTTACAGAGCTTACAGTGTACAATTGGTGCAGTTTTTTCCGACTTTTATTGTGCTCTATCGGACGAAAATTTGCTCCGCGGCACCTTAAAAGCTTACCGATGGTACAGTTCTTTCCTTCAAAGCCAGGAACGCAAGCACAAGTGTAGCTATTCACACCGTCAATACATGTTCCTTTGTTTTCACAAGGGCTTCGATAACAATCATTAATATCTAAAAGAAAAAAACAACGACAAAACGCGCACTTTTCATAAGAAGAAACGTCCATTACTTAAGAAAATTAAGTGTTGTCAAGGATGGAAGAACCTACCGCCAAAAAAACAAACAAACAAACAAAAAAAACAAAAAACAAACATTCTAAAGATTAAATAAATAAATAAATAACGATTTGCAGGTAGCACATCCACATAGTGGTTCTTCGTTTACGTGATACCTGGTCGAATTGGAATTTGAAAATGCTGGTTTTTGAGGAGAGGGGAAAACCGGAGTACCCGGAGAAAAACCTCTCGGAGCAAATGAAAGAACCAACAACAAACTTAACCGACAAAAATTCCTTCATAAAAACTGACATAAAAGAAAAACAGAACTCACTGATGGTGCAGTTCCTCCCTTCAAAGCCAGGAGAGCATGCGCAAGTATAGTTATTTACACCATCTATGCATGTTGCATTGTTTACACACGGGTAAGGATCACAGTCATCAGTGTCTGAAAAATAGACTTAACATAATAAACATAATTTTTACTGGTCCAGCGGACGTAAATGTCCTCCATTTCAGCTTTAACCTGTTCAAAGCGATTCGGTTGGCTAATGAGTTGAAGCTATGTGTATTAAAGCTATAAAGAACTTACTGATGGCGCAGTTCTTTCCTTCAAATCCAGGTACGCAAGCGCAAGTGTAGTTGTTCACTCCGTCAACACATGTTCCATTGTTTTTACACGGGCTGGGATAGCATTCATTAATATCTGAAAGGAAGCCAAGAGGCACAATATTAACAATCAGTTTAAAAAGTGATTCCATCGGCTAATGAATAATTTACTTTTTTATGTTCGTATTTTTTCAAAAAAAGAAAAATATGTCCATTGAAACGTTTACATGGAGAAATTGCCCTTTTTTTAAATAAGAAAGTGAAATAATATTATATGAAGGGTGGAAAATCTATTTGGGTATCACAGCGTACACATTTTTAAAATTCCTCCTGAAAAAGGAAAAGAAAAAGAAGAAGAAGTAAAGAACTTACTGATGTTGCAATTCCTCCCTTCAAAGCCAGAATGACATGCGCAAGTATAGTTATTCACACCATCGATGCATGTTCCATAGTTTAGACACGGGTAAGGATCACAGTCATCAGTGTCTGACAAAAAGCAACCAAAATAGACTTAACTCGACAATTTTTAATGGCCTTGCGGACAAACTTATTGTTCATAATAGCACCTTGAAAACGTTTCCATTGACTGATGAATTATAAATAATCATGTTGATTAAGGTAGTTTTAAAACTCACTGATGTTGCAGTTTTTCCCTTCAAAGCCAGTTACGCAGACACAAGTGTAGTTGTTCACTCCGTCAATACATATTCCATTGTTTTCACACGGGCTGAGATGACAGTCATCAATATCTGATAAAGTACCAAGAAAAAAAACCCCTTTATCCGGTTGAAATAACTTCACTTTCTCATAAATTTATTTGTCAAAAAATAAAACAATAATAAATTGATAAAAACCGCTTTACTTGAACAAGGAATTCATTAGGCACAAAATCTTTACGGAAGCTTTTATATGATTAAAAAATGAGAAGTATGTATCTCATTATAATGTTTTCAAGAGTAAAATTTTATGAAGAATGGGAGAATCAGTCAATGGAACTATGAAACGAACCTCAATTATCATGGAAATTGGAAACCTATCAGACAATTTTTTTAAAATACAATGAAATTTAGCCTGACGCCAGCGCACACCGCCCGGACATCCACCTGTACAGACTCTCGTGGAGGGAAAGGAAGACTCTGCAAAGGAGGGGAGTCCAAGCCATACGGCTTGCATTTGTCCTGGACAAAAGTTTTCAGGGTAGAAATAACCAATAGATTTGCTCCAACAAAAATCTTGAAGAAAGCTTTTAGCTTGGTCACGCTTTTGTTCACTCTCCAGGACCAATACAGCATCAACATAAAATACTCGTACTAAAATATTCTCGAATAACAAATAAACTTACTGATAGTACAGTTCCTCCCTTCAAAGCCAGGCTGGCATGCGCAAGTATAGTTATTCACCATATCTGTGCATGTTCCATTGTTTGCACACGGGTGAGGATCACAATCATCAGTGTCTAAAAAAGGAAGAAACAGGAGTGACGCAGTGATAACAATATCTACTGTCCCGCTGACTGATAAATTAAAATGAATAAATATATAAATAAAACTATTAATTAGTTGTTAAAGAGCTTACTGATGGTGCAGTTTTCCCTTCAAGGCCAGGTACTCAAGAGCAAGTGTGGTAGTTCACTCCATCGTTACATGTCCCATTGTTTTCACATTAGCTGGTATATCCGTGAATATCTGATAAAATGCCTTGGTACTTAATTTCGCGATTTTTGTGAGACGGCATTTCGCGGGCTTTTATTTTCGCGATTTCGAAAGGCAAGTACAGAATAAAAAAAAAAGGTTTCGCGATTATCTGAAAGCGTTCTCAACTTGATTTTATTTTTCAAACGTCTGGAATTATTAAAATAACGAGATAAAATGAAACAAGCAAAATGCATTTTGACGTCATTTCACAACAGAAGACACAGTCAAAGAAAGGAACTTACCAGTTAAACCAATAATTTGCCGGTATGACACGTATGTATAACCTGCACAGTATAGGCGGATTCATCGTGACGTCATTGTTGATATTTTTCTTATTCGTATACGAATTCAGCCATAGAAGAGGTAGTCGATTTTCAATTTTCTGTACGTATGTGTGTGCGCAGTAAAAGCCAAAAACAAAATTCCTTAATAGGTAACTTACTGATGTTGCAGTTCCTCCCTTCAAAGCCAGGGTGGCATGCGCAAGTATAGTTGTTTACACCATCTATACATGTTGCATTGTTTACACACGGGTAAGGATCACAGTCATCTGTGTCTGAAAAAAGGGGGAAAACAGTTTTAACTGGTCCAGTGGAAGTCATTGCGCACCACAGCACCTAGAAAATATAACTGATGACTGATGAATTCAAGGTTTGTTTGAAAGACTTGTTTAAGCGCTTACTGATGGTGCAGTTCTTTCCTTCAAATCCAGGCACGCAAGCGCAAGTATACTTGTTCACTCCGTCAATACATGTTCCATTGTTTTCACACGGGTTGGGATAACAGTCATCAATATCTGATGAAATACAAGATGCACACAAATTACGCGATTGCACCCTATATCCAATGTAAATACTTAAATAAACAAAAAATAATAAATAAAAGAAAACAAAACCACAAAAATTCCTTTGCTTTGGGTAAATTTTCTATTTAAAGTGGTAAAAAGGGAGAAGAAAGTGTAGACCTGTCAACGAAAATACAATGGGAACTGTTTTTTTTTCTTTTTTTGCAATAAAATGAAATCGTCCAAACTAAAAATTTAAAGATAAGTTAAAACACCCACTTTTTAAATACCTTCATGAAAAATACTTACTTATAGCACAGTTCCTCCCTTGAAAGCCAGGGACACATGCGCAAGTATAATTATCTACACCATCTATGCATGTTCCATTGTTTACACACGGGTAAGGATCACAGTCGTCAATGTCTAAGAAATAGAAGAAAAAACTTGATACGGCAACGAAAAGCATTTTTATTGGTCCGACGGACGTTATTGTGCACCCCAGCACCTAGAAAACATTTCTTCTGACTGATAAATAAAACATATGTTTAACAAAGTTCTTTAAATGCTTACTGATGCTGCAGTTCTTTCCTTCAAATCCAGGTACGCAAGTGCAAATGTAGTTGTTCACTCCATCGATACATGTTCCATTATTTTCACACGGCTTGGGATAACAATCGTCAGTATCTGATGAAATACCAAAATGCACACAAATTACGCGATTCAATAAGCGCTTCTTTTAATACACGTATTTTTTTAGTAAATATTTATATAAAAAATAACCTAATAATACAGAATAAAACTATAAGAGTTCCTTTCGACGGAACTTTATCGTTTACTGGAGTACATGTTATATTTAAAATGATAAAAAAGGGAGAAGGACTTTAGGAAGAACCTATCACTAGACCTACGAAGAAAACTGTTCTCTACTATAACAACTTGAAATCGTCCAAACTCATATTAATTTTAAGTTAAAAACACCCTTTTTTTAAATATTATAATAAAAAAGCTTACTGATGCTGCAGTTTCTCCCTTCAAAGCCAGGAAGGCATGCGCAAGTGTAGTTATTCACATGATCTATGCATGTTCCATTGTTTAAACACAGGTAAGCATAACAATCATCGGTGTCTGAAATGAACCAAGGAATAAAAAAAACTGAACAGAAAAAAATACAACTTTAAGTAGTCGATTAACGGACAGAGAAGGAGACAGACTTGGATAGACCTTAAATATACGACTACTGCAACTTGAAAATGTTGTTGTTGGCTTTCGTGATCTGAAACTGGTGTTAAATAACAACTGTTTAAGAACCTACCTATGGAGCAGTTCTTTCCTTCAAATCCAGGTGGGCAAGTGCAAATGTAACTGTTCACACCGTCAATACATGTTCCATTGTTTTCACAAGGGCTAGGATAACAGTCGTCAATATCTGATGAGAAGAAAAGTTGTATACAGTTCATATGATTAATTGTGGTCTTACAAACTCATGTTTAAAGGAAAAAAAAATGTTCGAAAACACATTTTTTTCACTATTGGGCATTATGAACTTTCATACTTCAAGCCTACTGGAATCTTTAACATGGGTAAGAAAGTATTTATTAACAGCGGTGCTCCACGTGCGCGCGAGCTTAGCCCCATACCTAAGAAAATAAAAAAACCACCGACCGACCGACCGTCCGTCCGTTCTCCCCACAGGCATACCAATGTAAAATAACTTAATCAACAGGTATGGCAATCTAAATGCAACTAGAGGTTATTTCGGCGGGAAATCGCATAGTCAACAGAGTCTCGGAAGCAGAGACAACCATTTAAAGAGTCAATGAAGACAAAAACGGAAAGCAGGCGTTGTTTCTGTATGCGTGTTGTCTAAAGTGTTAAGCTTAGATTATTTGTCATGCCCACAAATTTTTGGAAGAACAACATGAAAATTTTTTAGCGACGGTGAGAAAATGAAAATGCTAGCGGCCACCAAGGTGAGCGGCAGTAAAACAAGTGAACAAAAGGTACGACATTTCCTTCATAAAACTTGTAGCTAGGAAGTTTCTGGAATGTTTACGTTGCAGTCGTGCAAAACAACGGCAAAGAAATGTACAAAAAAAAGTGTGCTGCACGAGCAAAGTGCTTTTTTGCTAATTAGACCTATTGTTGTTTTTTTCATTATTCTCGTTGCCTTCGCCGCTTATAGCGTTACACGATTTCATATTTTCCTGGAGAAAACTATAAATATTATGGAGAGCTTCGCTTTTTGCCCTGGCTAAATCTATAGATTAATCTTCTATTCAAGAAGGAAAAAATTTCAGCTTGCCAAACAATCATGAAACCTACAAAACCGATGATTTATTAAAATAACGTGAAAAAAAAAACCGTTCTAAACCTTCTCTCTTAAAAAAAAAACTTACTGATGCTGCAGTTCCCCCCTTCAAAACCAGGAGAGCATGCACAAGAATAGTTGTTCACACCATCTATGCATGTTGCATTGTTTACACACGGGTAAGGATCACAGTCATCTTTGTCTGGAAGAAAGCGAAAAATCCAGACTTCATGCGATAAAGACAACTTTTACTGGTCTGGCGAAGAAACATATCATGCCCAATAACATCTCAAAACCGTTACCATTGACCGATGAGAAATAGGTCAACACGAAAGGAAAACTTACTGATGCTGCAGTTCCTCCCTTCAAAGCCAGGAGAGCATGCACAAGAATAGTTGTTCACACCATCTATGCATGTTCCATTATTTACACACGGGTAAGGATCACAGTCATCAGTGTTTGATAAGAGGCAAACAATAACAAAAAAAGACTTAACACGATTGAGACAACTTTTACTGGTCTAATAGGGATGGAACTTGACAGCTGTCAAAACAGGGTATCCGCTGACCAGTACCACTTGACCGTATCGCGGGCTCAGGTGTTAACCCATCGAGGTCAAGTATTTTTTTGAAGTTATCCGCTGACAAGTTACTAGTTTTCAAATGATCGCAGGCTCAAGTTTCATTTTTTTTCATTCATATGAAATATGTTTTGTTTTTGGGCCGCACAATTAAAATTTTGATTTAAAACTGACCTCGGACCCGAAAATTCAGCCAGCTATTACAGGCAAGACAGTTGCTTTTGACTTTGCACACCATGGTCACGCGTTGGTCACGCTCTACATCCATTTTTAAAGCTCTGATTGGTCAAAATTTGACAGGTGAGCTCTTGCGGAAAATTTATGCAGCATTTTGAATCTTGTTTACTTTGACAGCTGAAGCTGAGAGAGTTTTGTGTCAACTTGTGATGTTTTTAACTGTCTTTTTCCACTGGATGCACAAAATGAAATTTAGCTGCTATCAGGAGCCTTCTGTTATTCATGGCTAGTTGGTTTTTGGTTGAGAAATTAATACATCACTTGTCAAAGTCGGGAATCCGATTTCGGGTGTCAACGTTTTTGTTTTTCACCTTGCTTGATGCGCGTAGAGGCTGAAAACTCTGAAGCGATACTGGCCTTCCTTGATACCTTTCAGGAGCTGCATCTCGAATGGTAAGCCCCAGTAATTATTGTGTTTGATGTTTGTTTTTTATATCTAATTTAAAGAAGTCGAGCGTAGTTTATGCGGCTATGTAGTTTATGCACGTTTGTAAGATTTGAGACAATTTGATCTGACCACGAATCAGGTAAACTTGATATAAGCTTACACAACTTTAAAAAGTCTTTAGACATTTTCTCACCGCAGATAGAAAGAAAACGTTCCATAGAACATTTAGTTATAATTCTGGCAGTAAAAGAAAGCTTTGAGCGATTTTCTTGCCTCGAGTTCATCTGTGAAAAAAGTAAATACCGGGAAGCCGGCTAAAAACATAAACTTACGCTTAAGCTTGAAGACTCAGGATTTTTAGAGACACTTTAATATTTGTCTTCGTGAATGAAAAATGTTGTCTCTGTATATGTTTCGCCGAATTATATTTCCTTTATTGATTGCTGGTAGTCTCTCTTGTAATTTTAATCGCTGTGCCGTTTGTTTTCAGTCGTTCAGTGAACATCGCTTGCAGGAGTACTCAAAATGCCGCGCGTATCAAACGCTTTTAAAGATTACAGATCGATAAAACTATTAAATAAAAAATAAACATAATAATTTCTTTATTGTGTTGGAGCTTAACTCTAGTATGTTCGTTGAAACATTCGCTACAGCTCGCACTGCAAAAGTGAGAACCGGCTGGCTGTATACGTGATTTTGGACATTTTTTTAACGGTTTAGCTAAAAGCCCACGCGTGCAATTGAATGAGTGCAATTTCTCTTGCAAAACTGTGAAATACTGAATTCTGTCCGAGGTCTGTATGATTAAAACAGTACCTCATAGTACTGTTTCACCTCAGATGTGATGTATAAATGGCCGTCGATAAAACCCGGAACATGGAACATCCCGGAACATTCCGGAACATCCCGGAACATGAAAAAATTAAAATATTTTTTTATGAAAAAATGATTAATTAACTAAATAATAATAATAATAATAATAATAATAATAATAATAATAATAATAATAATAATAATAATAAATAATAAAAGGAACAATAGATAGAAAACAATTTTTGCAAAAATTTATAATAACAAAATAAATAACATAATTTAACATAAAAACGAAAAATAAAGAAACAAACCAAGAAAGAAAGAAAAAGAAACTCCGAGTATGAGAAAACAATATTTTGTTGCAATGAATTTTTTGCAGTGGGCGAGTAAGGGTCCATTCAAATGACAGTCCCCAGTCATCCTACTCACCCTGGTCACCCTAATGAGTGAAGGTTTGCTTCTTAATTCAAAATATATTAAAATGGGTCGCGAGGAGAGGGTTTTCAGGCTTTCGTCACACAGCCACCTCTTGTAAAGGTTTGCCATGTGGTTTAACGGTTATCCATTTACGGCTTTGTGACCGAAAGAAGAGCCTAGGGGCTTGTCGCTTTGGACTTGGATAATTAAATTAAAGATTCAGATTCACCATGAATAGTTGCAGTGGCAGCGGTAGTTTCTAACTGTTATCAGTTAGCCTGAATTTTAGCCGTCTCCCCGCAAACTCCTCCTGCGACTAGAGGAGACTTCTGAAATATCATGCTGACTGTAAACAGTATAGAAACTACTACGAATGTGAGTATTGTCCACTAAAATCCAAAGACAGGAGCCCCTATACTCTTCTTAAGTTCACAGAGCCGCCTAGTCTGTAAGTAATTCATGTTCAAAGAAAGCAAAGCACCTCAAGTAAGCAAATGTCGGTTATAAATAAGGAGACTATATGTTGGCTTGAAATGAGCTACTTACCGACTTGGCTTGACATGAAATACTGCACCGACATTTCAGACCATTGCAGAACCGTAAATGGATAACCGCCAAATAATTAACTCACGGCAAACAATTACAAGAGGTAACTGTGTGAGGAAAACTTAAGAAAGCCCCCTCTTCGCGGCCCATTTTAATATATTTTGAATTTAGAAGCAAACCTTCACTCGTTACTGTCATTTGCATGAACCCTCACTCGCCCAACAAATTTTAATTTGTTGCGACAAAATATTGTTTTCTCATACTCACAGAGGAAATCAGTTTCTTTTTCTTGATTACTTGATTATTTATCGTTTTTCTTTTGTTATTTTACTTTATTATTAATTTTCACAAAAATTATTTTATTATTATTATTTTATAATATTTTTTTTCGTGAAAATTATTTTTATTTTTTCATGTTCCGGGATGTTCCGGGATGTTCCGGAATGTTCCGGCATGTTCCGGAATGTTCCGTGTTCCGGGTTTTATCGACGGCCTGTATAAATGGTATGAAAGGGTTGTTTACACGCAACCAGATTTGTTGGCAAGATTTTGTAAAGTAAACTTGTCGAACGCAAAAAAATTCAACCTGATTTTTTTTCCAGGCCTAATTAATCTTACGGTGATCAAGAGCCATTATGGCTCTTAAATGTGGTCGAAGATGATTGCTATTTTTTGGGTGTACATATGAGGTTATCAACTCGATGTAAGATTTTGTTCACTCTTGGGCAGTTTGCAAATTATTTTTCTCTAAAATCACTTAGCCTTTCCCTCAAAAGTCACATGAATGTGCTATGTGCTCTAAAGTTAACTGAATTGTGGAATACAAGTTTATTGTTTGATTTAAATTATAAATATATTAATGGGAGCCTCGCTTTTAGCCCTGGCTAAATCTATATATTAATGAATTTATCGTTCACTAGAGTACATTATACTTATTTATTTATTTAACAAGTTTTATTTTTTGAAAGTACTTCGCAAATTCGCACCTTCAAACTCCAATTAAAGTTTTGACGCGGGAAAAAGATATACATGTTTCATTATTATAATGGTAAAAAGCGGAGAAGGATGGAGGAATCTACCGTTTGATCTACGGAAACTTGAAATCGTCTACATCGTACTTTAACTTTTAAACGCTTGCTAAAATTTCGTCAGTAAAAAAAAAAACTTACTGATCCTGCATCTCCTTCCTTCCTTCCTTCCTAAACTATTATTTGTTATATTAACAGGCGATTGTCCAAATTCATATTTTAAGTTAAAAACACCAACATTATAAATATAGTAATAATAAAAAAAAACTTACTGATGCTGCAGTTCCTCCCTTCAAAACCAGAAGAGCATGCGCAAGTATAGTTATTTACACCATCTATGCATGCTCCATTGTTTAGACACGGGTAAGGATCACAGTCATCAATGTCTGAAAAAAAGGAAGAACAGACTTATGAGGTAGCAAATAATATTTTCACTGGTCCAACGGACGTTATTGTTCAAAACAACACCTAGAAAACATTTCTTTTGACTTTTGAATAAAAGGATAGGTTGATCAAAGTTGTTTGAGAGCTTACCAATGGAGCAGTTCTTTCCTTCAAATCCAGGTACGCAAGCGCACATGTAGTTGTTCACACCGTCAATACATGTTCCATTGTTTTCACACGGGCTGGGATAACAGTCGTCAATATCTGATGAGTACCAAGATAAACACACTTAATACTTTCGCTTGCACCTGACCACATAACATCGGGTATATTACGAAGACGCAATTGGCCTGTGTTTTAGCCGTCTTGATTAGCTAAAATGGATAGAGCGTTGCGTACAGTTATCGCAAGGGTCAGGTGAGACAAGAAATACGACTTTTGTAGTGTAGTATTACTTTAATCACCAAATCACCTGAAAAACGTTCCCATTGGCTAATGAATTAAAATATGCTTATTAACTGAAGAACCTACCCATGGTGCAGTTTTTTCCTTCAAATCCAGGTACGCAGGCGCAAGTGTAGTTGTTCACATCGTCAATACATGTTCCATTGTTTTCACATGGGCTGGGATAACAGTCATCAATATCTGATGAGGAAAAAAAACTCTTAGAGTCCGTGTACGCAAGTATAGTTATTACATTATGGGATCACAGTCATCACTTTCCGAAATGAAGAGCAATAACAACAATTGCCCCTTTGGACTTTAAATGTCTTTAACTTTACCTTGAAAACGCCCGCATTGACCGATCAATGAAAAAAAAAAAAAAAAAAAAAAAAAAAAAAAAAAAAAAAACAGAAGCAATGCAATAAAAACAATATTTACTGTCCCTGACTGATAACTTGAAAAAAAAAAAACTATATTATTAAAGTTGTTTAAGAGCTTACTGATTGTGCAGTTCTTTCCTTCAAATCCAGGTAGGCAAGAGCACGTGTAATTGTTCACACCGTCAATACATGTTCCATTGTTTTTACAAGGGCTGGGATAACAATCATCGATATCTGATGAGATAAGAAAAA